GTTCCTTGTGCAAAGCCCCGGCTAGCCTAAAGTGACTTTTGTCTGTCATTTCGCAGCTTTCCCTCAGGCCAGCGTCCTCTGGCCTGGTCTGCACTGCAGCAGCAGCGATGCTGGCACCCAGGGCAGTGCCAGGATGCCTGCCGAGAAGGAAGCTTTGAAGGACTGGGGTGCAGGGGAGGAAGGGGACCTTACTGTTGTCTGATGCTCTTAGGAGAACAGCTGAGCCAAGGCAAGATTTAGCAGTCCCTAACATAAACACTCATCAACTCCTTCGCTAACATTTGGCCAAGCTACTCCCATCTCCTTCATGATGACCCACAGCGCTGGTCTTTGTGGGAGGAGAGGAAGAGGCAAACACACGGTGGTGTCAAAGGCCTCTGAGTCACAACATGGACCTTCCTCGTACACATCCACGCAGTACAAAGCATCTTCCTGTGAGGCAGATGACACATTTTTTAAACTGTAAAGACATTTGATTAATGATGTACTGACAAGTGTCAGTCACTTGGATCTACTCTGACAATACTGGAAGTGCTGAAATAGAACCGTCCAAAACAGTAAGCAAATAAACTGCAGCCAATAAATTACAAGGAGAATCTGCAATGGAGAAACAGAACCATGTTTAGACTATGAATATAGAAGCACTCCGCTTGCAGGAAATAAAAACCTAAAAATATTATAAAAATCACAGTAGTCGGAAGTTGAAAATATTCTACTAATTTTTGCCAAAGCAGATGAGTTTGACAGGCTAAGGATCAACCCCTGTCTAGACGCTATACAGATCACCTTGAAGACTACATCAAATGACTCATGATACTCCCACTGAATTGCCAGAGCCATTTATAACAGTGAGAAATATTTAATAAATCAAGAATACCTATTCTAGTTAAAAAAAAAAAAAACTTAAAGATTTTCAAGGAAAATGACAAAAAATCCCCAAAGAGCCCACTTACGTGATGATCTAGTTTTCCATCCTGTATAACACCCCTGAAGACATTTACTTGTTGCTTCCTATTTTAATTCCATTAAAGAAGTTAACTGAAGCTTATATGGTTTTGATCATGGAAAAAAAACAAATAGCTTAACAACGCCTTCCCCAACTTCCATGTATTTCCCACAGTAAATCCAGGAAATATCTTAGGGGAAAAGTGTAAATCTCTTTTGAAATGTATACTTACAGTTACTTACAGAGTGCTTTTTTGCTTCACTGGTGCTGAACTCTGTAGGATTTTCCATGTGAAAATAAAACCAACATCCGTCCTGCTCGCCGCCATCATCCGAGCGCTGTCCAGTCTTGTCCCCGTGGCCAGTGCCGTGACCCAGTGGTGCACCCAGCTCGGGGAGGGGGCTGAACTCGGCACCGTGCCGGGGCCTGGGGGGCACTTGTGCCAGGCGGCTCCCCGCCCGGCCTCCCTGCTGCCCCACAGCGAGCGGCCCTTCCTCGCGGCCCTGGCACTCACCACCAGCACACACACGAGTTCTTGAAGCGCTCCGGACCCGGGCACTAACTGCACCCACGTGAGCCAGAGGCAAAGGAGCCCGGCCTGGCTGCTCGTGAGGCACAGGCGTCTTCCCGCCCACCAGTCTCCTGCACCAATGCGCGTAGATCTGCAGTGCTGTGAGGCTGCCAGGGGACAAAACACCTCCAAAACAGCAAAAATTCCTCTGTCTTCTCTCTGCTCCAAACACTCCTGTTACTGATCAGAAACACTCTGCATGCACCAGTAGTTGAGCCCTCTCTCTGGGCCTGCAGCAGGGCCAAGGAAGGGTCTCACAGCCAGTGCCTGGTGTCCTGAGGGCCAGCAGTCACCGGGGGAGGGCTGGCAGCACCCACCTCAGGTCACCGCCCTTGACAGGGCTGGGCTCCCGGCTCCCTAAGGGACTGCCCATTCAAAACAAGCAGCTTACCTGCTTGCTACAAATTAACACAACAGCGGCACCCGCACATTAACCAGCCTTGTTCTGCCATGCAAGGTTGGGAGCGCACTTTATTTCCTTACTAATTCTAAGCGAGAAGAAGCTCCAAAATGTTTTATGCAGGAAATAAGAAATGCGTTCGGTCAGACTTTTGCATTCTCCATCACAAGACTCAATGAACACTCTCTTGTCCTTCTTCCCTTTGCTGGGCCTCTGGCCCTCTTGCCATTCCCAGCAGTGTTTTCAGGATTTCATGCTTTATTTGCCTTGGGAGTTATGCCAGAAAAGGATCGTAAGCAGGAAATAGGTAATTCTGCCTTTTCTAATGGATCTTGGCATTTTGAAGGTCATTTGTGTGCTATAGAAACTATTTTGGTTTGGTGTACACAGATCTAGCACACGGATCTGGCATCAGCTATGTTACGTTGTTGTAAATCCATTCAATTTTTATGCAAGCCATTAACTTCAATGAATTTTTACCAGTTTAACTGATAGCAAAGTACAGCTGATGGTGCAGACTGGAAACATTACAAGAAAAGGTGCAAAGTTCTATCGATTTTGCCTTAGGAAAAATGTGCATTTCCCTATGATTACATCACATGGCTCAGCTTTGGCCCCTAGCAGCCATCACTCATGTTTCCCAGCTCCACTGCCTCGGTGGCTTGGCCAGCAGGAGCCACGGAGCACGTTGCCCTCTTGCATGAGGAGCAGGGCAGCTGCCACGGGCTGCCCATGCCTTGAGCAGAAGCTGTGTTCTCTTTTTTTCCCCCCATCAGAATATTTCTCAATGCTTTTTCAAGCATTAAATACTCTATCAAAAGTTGCAGCCTCTTTTTTAGCTGATTAAGTCTCCTGCGCTACTCAAATATTGGGCAAAACACAGGCTGTGCATTTGGAGAGAGAAAAATAAACAAGCAAAATCAATCGACCAAAAAAACAGCTAGCACAAATTTGGAAACCAAGGTCCTAAAAATCTTCAGAATTCATTCTGCAGGTTTTTGAAGGCAAAAATAAAGTGAGGGTAGAAGCAGAGACAGATTATCCTGGCAATCTGCTCTGTGGTGAATATCCTGTGCTCTGGGAATGCCTCTGCCTATGTGCACCTTCACTGGAAGGAAAACCTGCCTATTGCACATTACTGTTTAGTTGTTCAGAGGTTTTAGGAGTGTTTAGAGAATTTAGGGATTTAGAGAATATTTAGGGAATGTAGAAACTGTTATTGTTACAGCAGCACACTCAGGAAAAACAGTAAATATTTTTTCATCTGTAATGTTACCGAAGTCTGAGAGACCTTGATAATTCTGCCTTCCATGGCACACGGAACTTGTGCATTTCTGTCAATTGGTAGGTGCACAACAGCCTACAATGTAAATCCATTCAATTTTTATGCAATCCATTAACAGGAAGGACAAACGCAGGAGAATGTATCCATGCCACGCTAAGTGATGGACGCGTCACAGCGCAGTACATGATCTGTCTACACTATTTACTGAAGGAATGAGGTAAAAACAAGCATAACTGCTTCTAGACAGACAGGCTCCACTGCTTGAAGCTTCACCCACTTATTCAGTTCATTGTCCCTTCATTTTTTTCTTCTTCCTCCTGTAGGAAGCTTTTTGGTTTCCTCCCCTAGAAGGCAGCTGAGTCCCAAGAAACACACACGGCCCTTGAGAAAAAGCAGCAGGATGATGAGCTCACCAAAGGACTCACAGTTAAAACCCAAGCAGGTTTCGCTTTAATCACTGGCCACTATTCAAAACATTAGTGCTCTCGTGGCATTAAGAGACTCCATGCACACCTCCACATTGAATAATTGTCCTTCAACAAATTTTCAAACATGAATTAATGCCTGTAATAATTTTAACATTCAAATCTCTTTTTCCACTTCTGTTTTCATTTCACATTCTAAGACGTGCTTCCATACACATATGGAAAACAAAGCACTTTCTCTTTGGCATGCTGCTCTTGCAGGCTTGGGTCAAACATTATCCCCATGTCATTTCAAAGAACAATTCTGCTCCTTGTGGGATGATCGTGGATTATTCCACAATTCACAGTACACTACAGAAGGCTTTGCGGGGATAACACTGATTGTACAGATTTTATCATCTTTGGACTCCCCAGGGTGAGTTTGTCCCAGCGTGCAGCGTAGCAGCACACATGAAACACTTGAGTTTTGGTCTCGCCTGAGCCGGGATGCGTGCAGCACAAACCCCTGCTGCGCCCGGCAGGCCCAACACAAGCCCTCACTGCCCGCCAGGGACTGAGGCCCCTTCCCACCCTCCTTCCTACCTTTCCTATCTGAGGGCACTGGGGTACAGGGTGAATAAAGGGGTACTCCCTGCTTTGACTCCACGGCATCTGCTGGCAGCGAATCCTGCTGGCTCCATAGTTCTCAGTTAGAGATTTCCACAATTAAGGTCCTTATTAATGTGAAATGCAAATGAAAGGATGAGAATCAGTGATGGGAAATTTCAATGTACTTCACTAAGTTCAGCTAAACAAGAGCATGTTTCTTCAACAAGGCATCCCCATTGTCTTATTTAAAAACAAGTACTTTAGAATAACAAGTAACTGAAATGCAGTATTTACTGAAGAAAAAAAAACCCCTTCTGTCCCATTAAAGAAAAACTCAACTGGCAGGACAAACATGTGGCACAATTTTATCATTTATAAAATTGGAATATATTTTAAACAAATCCTGGAGCCATGTTTGGACAATAAAAAGCTCCAGGTTAATTCATCTTTTTCCCTTGTCTGATTCATCTTTTCTTCCAAGACAACTGGGAAGAGAACAAAACAAAACAACAGAACAACTTACCTTGGAAGTTTCACACTGTTAAACTGTCCCTCTGCCTAGATCCTGTATGAACGGCACAGAGACAGCCAGTATCAGCGCAGCAGAACTCGGCCGCAGGAGCGGCACGCTGCGGCTTGGCAGCACGCACGTGTGGACAGTAACTCACTTCAGGCTTATTCTGCCCATGATGTAGCCTCAAGTCTCTGTGCTGCGAAGAGGCAGGGAGCAGACGTGGCCAAGGATCCTCCTCTCACTGCATCACAACTCAGGGAAATCCACAGACTTCTCTAAAAACTTTATTTCAAAATCTTTTTATTCAACTGTTATTCAGCAATATACAATACAGTTTATAAACAAACGTCTTACCTTGTTTCCAATCTTTATTTAAAAATAAATATTATTGACAGTGAATATTAATTATGGTAAGATGTGCCTTTTTAATTAAAATGTCTCAAAAAGAAATAATTTAATTACAAAAAAAGAAAAAAGAAATCCAAAAACCTAAGCACAATAATCTACTAAAAATATCTTCTTTCTTAGGAAGGGCTTTGACCCAACATTTTTACATAATGTCATAAAGATAACTGCTCAACAGTTCGTGCAAAACGAAGAGTCAGAGGAGAGGTTTAGAAAAGAAAAAAAATGGGACATTAAAACAGAGAAATCAGAAGTGCCATGCACAAAGCAGGGCGCAACATCTTAGAGTCTGGAAACTAGATGCATTATTTTATGTGGTTTACTTTTGTGACATCCCCAAAAATATGTTCCCCCCGCCCCCCCATTTAGAATTTCTCATGCTTCTTTCAGTCTCTTTCTGTCCATCTTTAAAACTGCAGGTATTTTTGTCAAAGATTTGCTCTGTTTTTAAATAGGTTCCTTTTTGTTTGGCTGAGGAGTAGCTGAGGAAACAGTCCATCAGTGGTTTACTAATAAAACTACAAGCTTATGCAGTATTAACAGGAACATATATAGGAGTGGGTTTGTAGCATAAATAGGTACTGTACCTAAAAAAGAAAGAGACAGGGAGAGAAGGAGATTTTATTATCTTTTCCATTATAGAAAATAAAACACAGAAGAAAAAATATAAGAAGATTTATTTTTATTGCTTCAGAGCCAGGGGTCAGAAGCTTAATTTTAATAGTAAAACAACATCTTCAAGCTATCCGACTCAAAGAGCTTTCTCTTCATCCCCCCCAACACCAAGTCTAACTCCACTCAGGTCATTTCATTCTGCATTACTAATGCTCTGCCTAAACTTGGCTTCCGCCAAGTTACCAACAATTGAGATTTCTATAAATACACGTTAATCTGGTATATCATTTCTTGAGAAATGACAGGTATCAACCACCCATTACTTTAAAAGAAAATGACAAATGATGTGGCTGCATTCCTTGATTAACAGGACATGAACCCATTTCATTTGGAATGGGAACAGCAAGACCTTGACATCTTCTTTACCTCTTATAGCAAAGAGTAGAATTTTAAATTAAATATCTAAGCAGGCGCTCTATTACAGAGCCCTGGCGGCCCCCGCCCCCCAGCAGCTCCACGGGCACAGTGCAGGACACGCGGCCCCGAGCCTGACGCTGCCGGGGCAGTTCACGGGGGCCCAGCAGGAAGATTTCACTCAGCTGCTTGCAGGCTCAATACCCTGTATCATTCCTGTTATCAGGAGTGGTAACGGACAAAATACTGAGAGTCACCCACTTATCAATGCCCAAAATACTGAAAGCCACCCAGAAAGACAGACCATCACTGCCACTTTTCAAAGGGTACTTAGCACTCTGAAAAAGAAATCAGACCACTTGTATTTAGGAAATTAACTTCAGGCAGCCTGATATGAATACTTTTGTCTTGGGAGACTGGAGTCCCTCACCTATGGCATGATGAAAGGAAATACTTTAGGAAGTTCTGCAAACAACTGCGCCCAAGCTCAGTGTGTCTTGTAACCAATATCTGCCTTGCAGGCAGCGCTGGGGTATTATTATCCGAAAGCAAAAGTACTTCAGAGTAATGTGGTGTGTGACTGGGGAACCTGAGCAATGGTATCTCAGACTCCTTAGACTCTGTGGGGATTATTTAGTTATTAAGGTTTTAATTAAATGCTTGCACGCACACACACAACTCACAACCTACCTGGCTAACAACCTACTTAGCAACAGCAGGACATTAAAAGAAAAATTGGATTCTTTTTCTTTTTTTTAGGATGAAAGCCATTAACAAACACAATTAACTCAGGTAGCCAAAGGAGTAATTGGCTAAACACTGTAAAAAGACATTCCAGATGTGTACAAGGAAGAGCACTGCAGATGCTGAAGCCAGGTTCCAGGCAGCAGCCAGGACAAGGATACCCAGCCCCAAATGCCACGCTGCTTGCAGAGGCCAGGAAGAACAGCTCACAGGCTGGCGCGAGCCTCTACTCTTCTTCCTGACATTTTTACATATATTCTTTGTTGTAAACAAAACACTTCCTGAGGCAACGGGAGCTGAGAAATGTGCAACAAATCTCTCTTTGGTGATCCTTGGGTTCTCCAGAAAAGGGAAGAGGGCAGATGATGACACAAAAAGAACCTTCCCACTTACAGGTTTCAGTACCTCTCCATGCTTTGTAAATTTAAATTGCTCCACCTACCAGACTTGAGACTTGCACAGGCACCAGGGTCAAAGGATTGGGCAGGCAAGATGAAACATAGTTCAGCTACGACCAGAGCAGAGCAGCCAGATGAAGCACTGTGGTGCACAGGTGCACCCAGATGGACTTCACCTACTGTAACCTGATGCAGTTCCCTTTATTCCTGGACATCACTTGTGCAGAATGTGGCACCCAACAAAAACCAGGACATGTTCTATCAAATTTCCTGTGCAAAGCACTGTCCTAATGACACTGCCTGCAGCTTGATGTACTGCAAAGCACATGAGGGGCTATTTGTGTAGTCCTCACAGGAGTCTACTGGGCTCAGCACTCTCTCCGAGCCCTTTGATCTGAGCTACACCAAGGATGCCGAGTATCCTGCAAGTCAAGTCCACTGCTGCACCCATCACCAGGCTGTGCCCGGACTGGCAGTAGTCCGGCGCACACAGTGGTTACACCATCTGTCCAGGCGTCATGTGTTCAGCTACAGTATGTGAACACTATGCAATCTCCTTATTTTTCCTTAAACATACAGTCAATTCACAAACCTATTCTACAGGATAAGCAAGGATAGAACTCTCATACCACACGGACCTACTGCAGACAAAATAGTATGCTGATGGGAAAGGCTGAAAAAGTCAACAGTAAAACCCAAACTTACGTCTGCCTTTGAGCCTAACATGCTGTACGGTATGTGAAGATAAACTATTTATTCACAAATTGCATCCCTGAGACAACATAATCCCAAGTAGCACACATCACTGTTTCCAAGCTGTCAGATGGCTCCTTGCTTCTAGGAGGTGCCACAGCTGTGGCCTTAGCCCGGGCAGCTCTCCAGGTCCCTTCCCGCGCTCCCTTTGAGCCGAGGCGCAGCCTCGCCGGAGCCCACACTGGCAGCAGCACTTCTGCCAGCACCACACCTGCACACTGCTTAGGGCAACACTTCTCTCCCTACTTTTAATGGAAAGCAACATGAGCCTCAACTCCAAGCAATGGCAGTGTGCCTTCTTCCCAACAGCTTTCCTATGGCAATTTTAATTGCATACACCACTTTGCAGGAGAATCTGCAATCAAAGTCAGTTAATTAAGCAAATAAATGATAAAAATAAGTTTCTAAAACTTATTTCAAAACAGTTATTCATATTGAATGCTAAGTAGAAACTTCTGTTTTCATACCAATTCAATACTTTGGTCTAAAATTGTTCTGTCAGCAAAAGCAGATAAAAAGAACTTCTGAATTCTCTTAGCTCAGAGCATGAGTGGACCATAAATACAATTTCCATTAATCTCTCTCTGCCTAGTTAACCATTTTCATTATGTGCAATATTGTTTATAGACTGGTTGGACTAAAGCATCCTTAATTCCACTGCTAATGCAGTAGTGGAATTCTTGACTTTGCTTAATAAATTACTCTGAAGATGTAAATGAACAGAATGTGGTCTTGATCACTACAATCTGGACATAGGACTTGACCTAGATTTCAAAACAGAGTTTATATCAGGAATACACAGTTATTAATGAAATAGACACTTGGAAGAAAACATTTCATTTATGCACTGAATATTCATTTGATAATTTGTTATTGTAAGTTTATCACCCATAGATTTAGAATTTTGTTTCTGAGTTATTTATATATATGTGGATTAAAGAGAAAGTCTACCACTAAGTAGAACAGTAACAAATTATTCTGTTCATGTACAATCAATTGCTCCCTGACACTACTCATCCTTCTTTTGGATTTACAACATAATTTTTTACTGTATTTGTCTACTTAACGATTTGTTTTGCACCTTATTCATCGAAGTCTGACTTGCAACAGTTTGTCCAATTGAAAACAATCATTAATTAACAAAGTGAATAATGACACATGGAAAAAATGGGACTCTACAAGCCTTATTCAACCAGTGTCCAAAAATAAAATGTCCAGCAGTTTCCTAGCCTTTTTCCTAGAAAGTATCTCCCAAGTCCTCTGGTGTCCAAGATGGTGAGAGAACACAGCAGCACAAATAACACAAGGCTGAAAGACACATTAAGTCTTTGACAACAGGAGTTCAGCCACTTCTGTGAACTGCCTTTTCTGCCATGACATTCTCAGTCTTGGTCTGTTTCCTCACACACCGATGTCCAATTAAAGCTCTCAAACCTGGCATTTCTTTAAGAGGTGAACCAAGCGTGTAGACTGACTTCTTATCTCAGCCCAGAAACTTTACGCTATGCTTGGAGAAGCTACATCTACTATCTTATATCCATGGAAAAAAAAGCTTTTTATATGGGTTGTTGGTCAAGGACCATTACAGTCAACAAGGTCCTAGATTAAACAAATTCTTTTAAGACTGGAGCACTTCCATTGAATTGAATAGCATTTCCAGAACTTCAGATCTAAGAACGTCTTAGAAGCTTTTGATTAAAAAGACGTGATTATTAAAGTAAGTATATACCTACTAAAAGAGATAATAAGCTACACCACATTAGAATTATGCCACAGTTTGAAATATGTTTTTGCTAGCTGCATATATCTTTATTCCATGCTTAAATATACATACCACAACCCCCCACAAAACATTTTGCTATCACTGTTTCTAAACCACCACTTGTGGTTGGTGCCTTAATCTTCCTAACTCTGCCATGGTGCTGCTGCTCCAGGATACCTCATACATAATCACATGTATTCTCAATTGGAGTATTTCGCAGTTCCAAAAAAAAAAAAAAAAAAAAAAAAGGCCCACCACCCAGGGGTAGGGGGAATTGTTAGATCTTGCTCTCGAGACCTGCAGCATCTTCTGCCCCTTGAGCACTCCTCTACTGACGTATTTAACCTCCAACCTGAGAGAGAGGAAACAACATGGCTAACCTCTCTTGAATACCTGCCACCCCTGTTTGAGCATGTACTATGCAAAATGAGTCATGTACGTGATACGGTTACGGGCATATCAGAAAACAGGGAAACTCGATAGCAAGGAGCTTTAGTCATGCAAGGAGATGATGTGGAAAGACAAGTTACTTTCTCATATATGCTAATAAAAAGATCCCTTCTTCAGTGTTGATTTTGTAAATTACTCCACTGCTTTGCTGGAAATTAATCTGTTTGAGTGCCTGTGGGATAAGGCAGATGCAGGAACTGGTAGAGAAGTGAGTGTGTATGTTCCTTAAGGCACTTGCAATTACCAAAGTGGATTTCTGCTCACATTACAGCTCATTTCAACTGAGATTAATTAAAGCCAAGTTATTCTCAAAATACTAGGCTGACAATCCCTTCCAAACATGCATATGGTGCACAGATGAGTCAACTGCTCCATTATCCTCTATGGAAGCTTTTCCCTATTCTCCTAGATCATCTGAGCACTATGAGAAATAAGCTACAGGATTAGATGG